ACGTGGTTTGGTTTGCTTCTCTGGTTTTAATATGTCTTGGTTTTGTTTGCTTTGGTTTGGATATGACTTATCTTTCATCTTAAACCAGCTTGGTAAGGTACCAGCCAGAACAGGGTTTTTAGGCAGGGAGGTTTAAAGACCTTTGTAAGCCCTAGGCACTGTTCCTTTTCAAATCCCCACCCTAAATCATGTAAAATGTACCGATACTATATATTAAATCTAATATATATAATTATGAATAGAGTTGAATTGCTGTTGAAATGTTATATATTTAATTAAATGTTAATTAAAATTTTTCATATTCTGGAGCAATAAGGCACCCCCCACCCCATCTCAGACATTTCACGGCCCTGGAAAAAGCTCGTAGACCCTCTCATGCAGGACAGATATGTCAGTCAGTGTGTCCTTAGGAAAGGAGGAAATCAGGCTAGCTATCCTCAACCCTTCACGGCTCTTCAGTTCTCCAGACCTTGCCTCATGCCACACTCATTTTGGGGTACACAAAAGGAACCACACTGCGCTTTCCCTCAAGGAGCTCGAAAGGGTTCTGATCAGACGCGGGGGGGGGGGGGGGGAGGGCTGGGGGGTAGGCTCTAGCTGATCTGGGGGTGGGGTGAGGGGTGAGGAGGAGCTCCTGCAAAGGTGTCTTGGAGCAGATGGGCCAGGCTGTTTTGAAGGATGCCTGTGGTAAAGTGGAGAGGCCAGGGGCGGAGGGAGTTTGGAGAAAGGCTGGGGGTGGAACCATGTGGCAGAGGCCTGGAAGCCGCAGGCTGTCATGTCATCCCTCGGGAGTGATAGGAGAAAGGTGGCAAATACCATCAGAGAGGCAGGGAGGGGCTGCGCGTAGTGGCCTTTGTGGCATCTTAGACAAGGTGAGGCTTGTTCTGGGCACGTGACCTCCTTCTGGGGCCTCTGATGGCTGAGTACATTTTGGTTTCCCTCGATGAGTATCAGTTGTATAAAGGAGTTTCTAACCCTCTCTATTTTTTACAGTATTTGTTAAGTTCTGTATTATTTTCTTTTGTTCAGTTATCTCTTTTTAAAAGAAATGGAAATAACTTTCTGTTGATATAGAACACATTAAAAAAGTGCAAATATAGGCATACCGGGAAATAGCTTAATTTTAGCCATTCTGATAGGTATGAAAATAATGATTTAAATTTTATCATTCTTTCAGTGCTTTTTAACTGCAATTCTTCTATAAAGGACTTTTCTTCATCAACTACTGGGTAACCTTGAAATATAGTCTGTATAAGGAAGGCATAGAACATTCGATTATTTTCTCATTTCAGTGCACCCCTCCCATTTTGGAAAGCCATTTTCAGTAAAACAGATAAGTGCCCTGTTAGGTTCCAGAGCAACAAATTGAGTTTTGTTGTATTAATACTCACCCAAGGATATTTTCCCATTGATTTTTAGAGAGAGTGGAAGAGAGAGGGGGAGACAGACAGAAATGTCAATGTGAGAGAGACATATTGGTTGGTTGCCTCCCGCATGCTCCCAAACCAGCCACAGCTGAACTAAATTTTTTAATCTTATACCTATTTTTGAGTTTTCCGTTATGTTTCACTGATTTGTCAGCCTAGTTCTGTTTCAGTAGCACAGCTTAAATTACTATACCTTAATTATCCTTTACAGTTTTTGTTACTTGATTTTGTAGATGTGTGAAAATCACACAAGCTTTCTTATGTATTACTATTATGTTTAACTATTACTTTACAGGGTATACTGATAACTGGTGCTGCTGGTCTCTTTTTTCTTTTATGACTTTGCTCACTAAGTTCACAAATGTATTCTTCCTTGTAAAAGAAGATTAAGATATATAAATTGCCAGTTACAAAAGCAGTCATAGGGATGGAAAATACAGCATAGGGAATACAGTCAATAATATTATAATAACTATGTATGGTGCCAGACTTATTGGGAGATAACTTCATAAATTACATAAATGTCTAACCACTATGCTGTACACTTGAAACTAATATAATATTGAATGTGAACTATAATTGAAAATAATTGTTAAGTAAAAAATAAAATAAATGTATTCTTCCAGATGGATTTTAGAAATATTTGTGTTAAGTTCCCCAAACCACTCTTGTATATTTTGAGTGGGGTATTTTCAATTTATAGAGAATTTATTTCTTACAATTTTGAGACTTCGTAGTTAGGAACATGGTCTGTTGTTTCATTTATTTAAATCTTTTTTATGTGCTTGACTCTTTTTTATTAACTTATCTCTAAGTTTATTGTTTTTGGTTTCTCTGTCCCTTCATTCAAAGAATTGTTTTTAAACTTCTTTAGAATCACTTTTTTTTTTTTTTTATGTAAGGCAAACTTACAGGAAAATGTCATTTTATAATCTGTAATATTAGCTTTATAAGCTATCTATTTAGTACGTCTGCCTCCCTCAGCTCACCAGCAGCATTTCCTATAGTCCTTAAGGCAAAATAGATAATACTTTCTTTCCTTCTGATAATATCATTGTTTAGTTACTGAGTATATATAACAACAGATTTTTTATGAAGATGACAGTACAGTGTTGACCAAAATTAGCTATTAACACAAATGAGGAGTTTTAATTGAAAGCCTCAACTATTTAAGTACAACATTTGGGCAGCTTTATATTAAGTGGAAAAAAAACCACACCTTACAATTATAAAACAGTTTCATAAGGCATGCGTATGCCAGCCTATCTGGTTTCTTCTGTTAGATCATTTACATGATTTGTTTCATTGTACCTGGGAATCTAGTATCTTATCTGCTGCCTATAAGAGGTGTCTTTATACCCAAACCTATCTACACTAATAAAAGACAAAGATGCTAATTGACCGTACCTTTGCTATGCCCATCAGCCAATCAGAAGAGTATGCAAATTAACCCAACAAAGATGGCCGTTAAACTTGTGACCCAGGGCGGTGGGGCAGGACAGCGAGATCCGCTGCCCGCCCCACCGCCATCCGGGCCTGCCATCTATGACCCAGTGCGGGATCTGGGCCTGCCATCTGCCACCTGGGGAGCAGGCCTAAGTCAGCAGGTGGTTATCTCCCAAGGGGTCCCAGACTGTGAGAGGGCACAGGTCAGGCTGAGGGGACCCCCCTCCCCCCACCAGTGCACAAATTTTTGTGCACCGGGCCTCTAGTTTTATCATAAGTAGAATAACAATAAGAGCAGCTAGTTTTTATTGAGATCCCACTATGTGTGATCCGAGTGTGTGTTGAGGCTAAGAGGTAGACTGTATATTTAAGCTGCATCTGTCTAGCTCTAACCTTGTTGGGGACTGGGACTGTGTTCTAGGCCTTCCCACTTTGTGTGGGCATGTTTTGGAGGACATCTTTATTGTTAGAGGGAGCAGGTAGGTGAGAGGGGGAAGAAGTCATAATTCTTAAAAACCTGTTAACACCACTTCTGAAATACAGAAGTCTTTTATAATATCCCTCTCTCAAGAGGTATTCTTTATTAAATATCTCAGTCTATTTTAAATTATAACTTTGTAGATGTTAGCCGAACTGCTATTATGTGGTAGATTCTAGGATCAGAATTTTGGGGAGCATTGTAAATTAGATTTAAAACAAATAGCATAGCCTGGCTGGCATAGCTCAGTGGTTGAGCATTGACCTATGAACCAGAAGGTCACGGTTCAATTCCCAGTCAGGGCACATGCCCGGGTCGCGGGTTTGATCCCCAGTGTGGGCATGCAGGAGGAAGCTGATCAATGATTCTCTCTCATCATTGATGTTTCTGTCTCCCTCTCTGAAATCAATAAAATTATATATGTATAAAATAAAACAGATAGTATAGTAGCTAGTATTGGGATTATCAAAAGATTTGTTAATTTAAACTCATTAAAGATTATAAAGTGAAACCTTATTTTAGAGTGAAAATATTATTTCTAGTCCCTTAGGAACCATTCATTTAATTATAAATAGTACACTATTTATAATTACAATTTATTTTATGTATTAAAACTGCTTGAATTTTGATTTCTATATATAATATGCTATACATTCTCTCAAACCTAATAAAATATTTGTATAAGCATTCTATGATTCAGAGAGACTTTGTAGGCCAAATTAGTGTGGCTTGTTGCTGTCTATTGTGAAACATTCCAGATATGCTAAAAGGCATAAAGTATAACATACTATCCATATACCTAAGTTCCGCTCAGGACATAAATGGCTAGCAACATAATCAAAGTGCTTGTGTTCTAATTATATAACCCTTCCTCTACCTCAGGGATGACAACTACCGTATTTTTCTGTGTATAAGACACCCCCATGTATAAGGTGCCCCCCACTTTTCCAACCCAAAATTAAGAAGTCAATATTTTAAACATAAAACAGAACACATTTTTATTTAGTAATTACTGCAGATAATGTTCACATACCAGTACTATATTATGCAGCATATCACTTTATTCAGCCTCTGTTGTATCACTGCTCTCTTCTTCATCACTATTAGTTCCAGACATATCAAGTTCTTCAACTTCTATTGTATCACTGCTGTCTTCTGAGTCACTGTCCATATATGTGAGATCATCCTCATAAACTGGTGGCATTTTCTGAGCTAACTTTGTTCGTGTTCTCATGGCCAACCCTTCTCTCCTCATGAAACTGAAGCACCATTTTGCCTTTCCTATAAAATCAACAATGTTCATTTCACTCACAAACATTCTTGCCTGACATTGAATAAGCTTGGTTGACATACATAAGCCACTCTGGTGCTGCTCCGTAATCCAAGTCTGAAGCCTTTGCTCCGAATTTGCCCATTTTGCTGGTTTTCCTCTTAAGGCCTTCTTCTCTTTTGGCATCTTAGGAGTTGTTCTTCCTGTTTTCTCCACTGTCTGATCACACACTCACTGGAAGGAGTTCCAGATTGTCTCTCTGCAGCTCTATTTCCACGCTCTTTTGCATAGCTGATTACATTCAGTTTGAATTTTGCAGAGTAAGACAGTTGCTTACCGGTATTTATCTTTCTATTTTTTGACATCTTTGTGGGCTCAGAACGTTCCAGTCCCTGTTGCATCTGTGCACGCTCCACCTCCACCTCCAATTACGGCATCACCTGACGTCAGTACCAATAAAGCTCGTGATTGGAGGAAGCCTGTTTGACAAGGTATGGGCAGCTATGCACCCGCGCGGCTCCCTCCTCTGCTGACTTCGTGTATAAGACACCCCTCGATTTTCAGTCTAAGGATTTTAGAAAAAAATAGCATGTTATACACGGAAAAATACAGTAATCACCTCCTTTTCCACATAACAACAGCTATATTTTTTAACTTTGTTTAAATGGTAGTATACTCTCTGACTACCGTTTTTTCATTCACCATAATATTTTTGAGATTCGCCTATGTTGAGGTATATAGTTCTAGTCCATTCATTTTTATTGCCTGTACTCTCCATGATTTACTTATCTGTTCTTCTCTTGATGGACATTTGTTTCCAGTTTTTATAATTAACAAATAATGTTACTATGAATGTTCTTTTACAGTTCTCCTTGTGCACATAGGTGGGGTACTGCCTGCAAATGAATTCGCTAGATTGAAAGGTATGTGTATCTTCAGCTGTACTAAGTATTGCCAACCATTTCCTAAACTAGTAACCACTTGTGCTTCTTCACTGATTAAATTGTCATTGTTCTGCACCCTTGCCAACACTAGGCATTGCCAGACTTTATGTCAATTTGATGAGTGATATATCACAGTTATTTTTTTAAATTTATTTTTTTTAACATACTTTATTGATTTTTCACAGAGAGGAAGGGAGAGGGATAGAGAGTTAGAAACATCGATGAGAGAGGAACATCAATGAGAGAGGAACATCGATCAGCTGCCTCCTGCACACCTCCCACTAGGGATGTGCCCGCAACCAAGGTACATGCCCTTGACCAGAATCGAACCTGGGACCTTTCAGTCCGCAGGCTGACGCTCTATCCACTGAGTCAAACCAGTTAGGGCCACATTGTTATTTTTAATTCCCCTGATTACTAGTGAGATTGGACATCGTTTCTTAGGTTCTACAGGTATTTTTTCTTAGCACTTGTATATTATGGCTAAGTTGTATATAAAGTTGAAAGTAGCATGAAGTGGTTACTACTAATTAGAAATGCACTGTAATTATATCATTAAATCATTGGCAATTTTGCAGATTTTTTTGGAGGAAATAATTCTGGTGATTTTCTGGTAGTATATTTGAGAGAGCCTGGACTTTGGAATTAAATTGGTGCTTGAATCCTGGCTTTTTTTTTTTTTTTAACTTTATGACTTTGGGCAATTTGTACAATCTGTCTGAGTCTGTTTTCTCATCCTTAAAATGAGTGTAATAATTTATGACTTGGTGATAGAATAAATGCAATAACATTAGCACCTGGCACACGGCCCTAGTACATGGTTTTAAGATGAAATAAACACATTAAACAATGATATGAGAGGTCATTGATACTGTGGCATATAATTAAATCAACACTGAAATCTGGCAGCATTTGTGAGATTAAGATATGGTCTGCTGATAGTTGAACTGTTATAAACATACTTCATCTCAGGGCCAAGTGAGGAGACCCCCGGCATAGCAAATCCAAGGCAGCTGTGTGTATGCCAGGTATCCGTCTTTGGCAACCCCTGCTTGTCCTCATACATGAACCTGAGTCTCCCCCGCCCCCCATGTCACTTGTGTTCATCTTCTGTGCCATCAGTTTTCTGCCAGACTTTCAGCGACTGTGACGAGGCTGTTCAGGTGGGAGTAACCTTGGGACTCGCGTGGGTGCCCGAGAGGCAGCGTTGGTGCGGGGGCTGTGCCAGACAGTATGGGAGGGATGGTCTGGGTGCCAGAGAGCTGATGGCAGAAATGCAGGCCATAACTTTGAGTTGGTGTTATTTAGACTGTTCTTGTGTCTCTTCCCACAGGAGTTTTTTCACATGGCTTCCAAAGAAGTGACCATCACAGTTCGCCTTATTCGATCCTTTGAGCATCGGAACTTCAAACCTGTGGTATATCATGGAGTTAATTTCGACCAGACTGTAAAGGAATTTATAGTATTTCTGAAGCAAGGTATGAGACACCGTAGTCATTTTGTTTTATTAGTATTTTGAAAGAAAATAGTTGACTATTACACTGCTAATAATCTTTTAAAAAATACTTTGAAAGGTATTAATGTAGGTGAGAAGCCAGATGCTGGCCAGGCATATGTGGTCTCTCTCTCTCTCTCTCTCTCTTAAAATTAAAAACATTTAAGGTCCAGGTTTGCTTGTGATGGGCTTCTGTATTTGAGGGTTGATTAGTAAGGGAGTATGTGAAGCTAATTTAGGATGAAAAAACACATTAAACAATAGTATGAGAGGTTGTTGTTACTATGAGCTGAGTACACAGAAGGCCTCCTGGGGAGCTGGTGGAAGGTGGCAGGCCTGATTCCACAGCCAGGAGGTGGTGAGAGCTGTGGGTCTTGCGATCACGGAAGTGACCAGACTAGCTGGTGCTAGTTTACCATTGCACACTCCAAAACAGCGGACATGAAGTTAGTCTCCATTTTGATAGGCCCTTGATGGGTTTCTAACTTCTGTTTTTAATTGTTGAAGTTTTCCAGTCATCAATATTTGATTAAATGTTTAGAATAAGCTTTAATTATTTTAACTGAAGTGATTTATACATGGTATAATTTACAGATTTTAGCATGCTGGTCCATGAGTTTTGACAGAGGTATCACTTTATATCCAACTTTTTTTTTTTTTTTTTTTTTTTACTTTGGCATAATTTCAGGCATAGCAATGTTGTAAAAAGAGGACAAAGAATTTCTGGATGCTCTTTACACAGATTTCCAAATATTTCCAAATATTTCCATATTGTTACATTTGTTTTCTTCCAGCCCTTTTCTTCTTCCCCCTTTTATCTCTTACTCTCCTTACTGCCCCTCCCAGATTTTTCTTTCTGAATCACTTAGAAGTATGTGGCTGACATGATTCCCCTTTATCTCTAAATATATCAGTGTGTACTAATATTTCCTAAAAACAAGGAATTCTCTTGCATAATGACAGTACAGTGATGAAAATCAGGAACTGATTTGAAAAAATGCTATTACATAATTGACAGATCTTACTGAGATTTTAATTTTTCCAACAAGGTCTTTCTGTAACAAAAGAAAATTCAAAATCATGTTACATTCAATACCATTAACCTGAAATTAATTTCTTTAATCTGGAGTCTTTTATTGTATTTTATCACATTGGCAAGTTTGAATAGTACAAGCCAGTTATTGTATAGAATGTCCCTCAGTTGGGTTTTTCTGATATTTTCTCATGATTAGATTTAGGTTATGCCTTTTGGCAAAGAACTTATAGAAGTGATGCCGACATCACCAGGAGGCTCTGCTGTCCATGAGCCCCATTACTGGCAACAGTAACTTTGATTGGCTCAGGTGGTGCCTGCCAGTTTCTGCTCTGCAAATTTTAATTGTAATTAAAAAGTAAGTTATGGAGGTATATTCTGAGACCATGTATGTGAACGTCTTGTTACTTCTCAAAATTTCATCCACTAGTTTAGCATTCTTTGATGATTCCTGCCTGAATCAATTATTATTATGATGATTGGTAATAATGATTTCTTATTCCATCATTCCTGATACCTGTAATAGTTGTTTTTGTACAGTAAGGAAGAGCTTCCTGCCCCACTCCACAGCCTCCACAGCATTTGCTTAATCATTTGTTTATATAATTGTGGAATAATGGATTCTTACTTTATTGAAGGGATTATCATCTTTTACTATCGTTTTTTATTTTGATGCTCTAATTATTCCCGTTTTGGTCTATGGTAGCTCCTTAAATATGGCTCCCTGTCCTTTTAACATGACCCCAGCATTCTTTGAGCACTTTCTTACTTTTTGGTAGAGTAAGATCTTCCAGACTTGTCTTATTCTTTCCCTGCCCCAGCCCTAGGATCAGCCATGTCTCTGAGGAGCTCTGATCCCATTACAGAGAATGGTATTGGGAAACCAAGATCTTTTTTTTTTTTTTTTTTTTAATATATTTTATTGATTTTTTTACAGAGAGGAAAGGAGAGAGATAGAGAGCTAGAAACATCGATGAGAGAGAAACATTGATCAGCTGCCTCCTGCATACTCCCTACTGGGTATGTGCCTGCAACCAAGGTACATGCCCTTGACTGGAATCGAACCTGGGACCCTTGAGTCTGCAGGCTGATGCTCTATCCAGTAAGCCAAACTGGTTAGGGCGGGAAACCAAGATTTTGATTTATACATATATGTGCAATTTAAGTGTGTATAGCTGTCTTTTTTAAATGTTGTCAATTCTTGACATTTTACTTATTGACTTTGTAAATTTTCTAAACTCTTTTTCCTCACTTAAAAAATGTTTTTATTTCAGAGAGAGGAAGGGAAAGGGAGAGAGATAGAATTATCACTGATGAAAGACAATCATTGATCAGCTGCCTCCTGCTCACCTCCTACTTGGGGATCAAGCCCACAACCCAAGCATGTGCCCTGACTTGGAATCATACTGTGACCTCTTGGTTCATGGGTTGATGCTTAACCACTGAGCAACATTAGCTGGGCCTCCCTTAATTTTTTTTCCTGTCTAATTTTGAGTAGTTTTATGATCATTATTACCTGAGTAAGGAGTAGGTGAGTTATGTAGACCCGTAGAGAAGACGGACTAGTCAACTTGGTGGTAATGATAAAATATTTCATAAGAACATAATTATTCCTTAAAGTAACTCTAGGCTTATTAGAGTATTATAGATATGTTTATTGCTGTGTTCTTGTTAGAGGGAGATTGAGAGTTGGTACTAAGATACTGATAACTATCGAGTGTCCGCTTTCGAAAGGATATCACCAAAAGCATGTTCATGAAATAGAAACAAATCCTACATTTTTATTTTAGTATCTGTGTGTTATGGGTTACAGTGTCTCAGTGTTGATACAGTGAGTGCTATGAGGCCCTTGGTACAGGACAGAATAGGTTGTTCTTGAAGTCCTCAAGCATAAAGTGTAAGCTTCAAGCTGTTACAGTGGCGGGAAGATGTGTTCTTCCCAGGGTCACTGTGTTCTGTCCTTCACAGGACCTAACGCCTACCCATTAGAGCAGCGGGCGGATCACAGCTAGAGGCTCAGCTGTGCCCACTCACGTCTTTCACCCGTGTTAGCAATGATTTAACCCTGGCATGTGGGAAGTGTGTTCCACTGACTAAGGTAGTGGTTCTCAACCTTCCTAATGCCACGACCCTTTAATACAGTTCCTCGTGTTGTGGTGACCCCCAACCATAAAATTATTTTTGTTGCTACTTCATAACTGTAATTTTGCTACTGTTATGAATCGTCATGTAAATATCTGATATGCAGGATGTATTTCCATTGTTACAAATTGAACATAATTAAAGCATAGTGATTAATCACAAAAACAGTATGTAATTATATATGTGTTTTCCGATGGTCTTAGGTGACCCCTGTGAAAGGGTTGTTCGACCCCTTCAGGGTTCGCAATCCACAGGTTGGTGACCCACAGGTTGAGAACCGCTGCTCTAAGGGGAACTTTTGGGGTACAGACGTTTTTGAGTTCTGGGGTGTGTGCCCAGGCCTACCTTGTCATTTGATTGGGGTGCTGTACCATTTGAAAGGTTGCTGTACCACATATTTACCTTTTATGAATTGTGTGCATACAAAGACCAAGGAGTTTCATACTGAGGAGTTTTTGAAGTAATTGTGAAATTAGTATGTATTAGGTACTGTGCTAAGAACTAGGTTACCCCATTTATCCTCACACATCCCTCTGCATTAGGGAGTTATTCCCCATTTACGGGTGAAGAAACTAAGGAATGGAGCGATTAGGAAACTTGCCTGAGCCCTCGCTTGTTTGGCTCAGTGGCTAGAGCTTTGGCCTGCAGACTGAAGGGTCCCGGGTTCGATTCCAGTCAAGGGCACATGCCTGGGTTGTGGGCTCGATCCCCAGTAGGGACCATGTAGGAGGCAGCCGGTCAATGATTCTCTCTCATCATTGATGTTTCTATTCTCTCTCCCTCTCCCTTCCTCTCTGAAATCAATAAAAATATGTGAAAAAAACACACACCACTTGCCTAAGATACATGACTGTCCAAAGGCAAAGCTGCAGTTCACCCCAGCAGTTTAGCCACACAGCCTGTACTCTGAAACACTGCACCCTTGTTCTTCTCCACGGCCTCCCTTGCTTCAGTAGGATCATTAAGACAAGTGGATTCACAAGTGCTCTAGTGTCTCTCATCTGAGAGCTGGAAGGATGGTTTGACATTGTGGCATAGTGAATTTCCCCACAGACACAATGTTCTCTGTGATGAATGATCTTTTGGGGGTTATTTTAGATTCCTTCTTGCCTTTCTGAATATTATTTTTATTTTTAAAGTCTTTATCATTGAGAGTATTAGAGATGTCTAACCCCTTTTTCCCACCCCCTTGCCCTCCTCCACCCAGATCCTGCCCCACCCCAGGCCTTCACCATCCTATTGTTTGTGTCCATGGGTAATGCATATATGCATATGTTTTTTGGTTAATCTCTTCCCACCCACCCTCTTCCCCCTTCAGTCTGAGATTCGTCAGTCTGTTCCATGTTTCCATGCCTCTGGTTCTATTTTATTCATCAGTTTATTTTGTTCATTACATTCCTTGTTCATATATTTTGATTTTTATATTCAATTATTGATATGTATTGCCATTTTATTGTTCATATTTTTAATCAGTTTTTCTTCTTCATCTTCGTCTTCGTCTTCGTCTTCGTCTTTGTCTTCTCCTTTCTCCCTTAAACATTTCATGTAATACTGGTTTGGTGGTGATGAACTCCTTTAGCTTTTTCTTGTCTGTGAAGCGCTTTATCTGATCGTCAATTCTAAATGATAGCTTTGCTATCATTGTAGTTCCTTGCTTTTCATAACTTTGAATATTTCTTGCTACTCCCTTCTGGCTGCAAAGTTTCTGTTGGGAAATCAGCTGACAGACTTAAGGGAGCTCTCATGTAGTTAACTGACTCCTTTTCTCTTGCTGCATTTAAGATTCTCTCTTTGTCTTTAACCTTTGA